TGGGTTTAAGCGAGTCAATGCAGATTTGTATGAGGCACGTTCTCTAATGAAAGGTTTTAATATAGCTTCGATACACCTTAGTAAAATAAATTTATGTAAGGATGGATTAAAATAGTCAAAATAATCATCTAACTGGTATATCCCTTATATATTGCATGAATACGTCTCAGAATTCGTTGATCTGCAATTTGGCAGAAGACAAGAGTGCAAATAAAATCTGGCAGGGTTATATGTCACTACGATAGCAATCTCAAAGTTGTTTTTTAAACTTTTTGTCTTGCACTAACAGCACGATAAATTTTTACAGCACAAATTTTATACTTCACAAGTTATAAATCTAGATCGTTAATTCTAGCTCGAAGGACCAAAATGTTAACTCCAACCCGTTCTTGGAGTTATGGAATATAATTATATAAAAATAATTATTATGAACAAATTCGATTCACCAGACGATCAAAGGCAAAGTCTATATACCAATGTATCACTAACTTCATTAAACTTTGAAGTTCAAAGAGTTCTGAAGGTTTTTATGTTGATAGTTCTTGCTTGCTTTTTGTAATTCTGATTTTTATAATTATATATTTTTATAATATATTTCGCATTTTAAAAATCGCATGTTTTTAAGGATTCTCCGCCACACAGGTATTCTCTAAAGTCCCCGCCATGTTGTACTTGTGAGCTTGCAGATCTTCAGTAAGAGTACAAGTATGTACTCTTGTATACAAGTATACAAGTGTCCGTTATTTTCCCAGAAAGCTGTTTCGCACATGTTTGCAGTAATTCTTTTCAGATAAAATGACGCTAATTGCCGTTGAGATTGGAATGGCTATAAATGTCTTAGGTACCAAGGCCATATTGAATATCAAATTGTTTCTAAATGTGCAAAACAAATGATTACTAAATTTTTCTCTTAAAAATGGTATTGTGCTTACAGCATCATCCTAAGCCATTTATTCATCTGGATACCATTTGCTCAGTGTCTGAACAATATTATAATTTTTATTCCAAAAAACACAATTTAAATTCAAAAATCTATAATAACTCTAGAATTAACCAAATTATTAAAGTTTTAAATAATATAATATATAGCAAGTTTAATTTAATTTTAGAGTTTAAATTTAAATTTTTGATTAAATATATTATATTCATATTGATAAAAACTGATTAGAAAGAAACATGTAAGAATATTAAATTTTATTAAAAATTAATTTTGCAGAGCTATTACAAATTTTAATTTTTTTTCAATTAAAATATTTAAGTTCTTTTTCATATAGCGATTTGTAAATTAACATTGATTTATACATATATGATGGAAATCGTATACAGTATGTGCATGTATATTATGCATATATATTATGTGTATTAAGCAATATAAATTTCATGAGATTATAATTATGATTTTATAATTATACGATTTATTATTAATGATATTTTTCAAATTGAAACGATTGATGAATATAGAAATTTTCATTTTCTTAGCAATGATAACAAAAAAAGCAAAACAGAAAAACACATTAAAGAAAAAAAATTTGAATGTTTTCAATTTTTATAAAAATATATAAGAACATTTCATTAAATTCCAAATTTGAAATTTGTATTGAAAATTTTGTATTTGAAAGCTTACTTACAAAGTTCTATTAATACAAAGTATAAACAAAACTATAAGTATAAACTAAACTTCTTATATTAATAATAAAAAACTGTAAATTTTTAGTTATGTTATTGTCGTAGGAAATGATCGAAATGATTGCAAAATTCTTTATTCAGCATAGAAGAAACAATATTATAAAATTAATGAATTAGATTCTTATTCAAATATTTAATATTCAAATATTTTATTTATTATTATTTTATATTTGACAATAATTAAATTAACAAATTTTTTGTTTTTTATAATAAAATATATATTCTATTTAATGAGAATGCAAAGATCAATATGCATTTTATGTTTTCTATATAATGTATGTTTTCTATATAAGATATCTCAAAAATGTGGGAATATCCGTTAATTAGAGATTCCTGAGGTAATTTCAAACATTTTCTTTTACAAAAATTTTCGTTAAAATTTTTGTTAAGAAGTTATTAATAAAAAACATTGGCCAATTACGGAGTGCATAGCCTAGCAAAAACAAATATAAATATAAATATAAATATAAATATAAATATCGAAGAAAGCGTGTTGAATATAATAAATATTTTTTTATAAAAAATTTGATAAAAAAATTATATCGAATTATATCGAACAATAAATAAATTATAATATTCAATATCATTTAATAGCATCTGTAAAAGTGAATAATATAATTGTATATAAGAATTTAATATAATATATAATTTAATCAAGTAAATATTTTTTGATATTTTTTCGCTTATTTCGATTATTTAATACTAATGATGGATTGATTTTTAATGATTCATTTTTTTTATTAATTATAATAATTATTCATCTTATCAGACATTTATATGTTGTAATAATATAACATAATAATAATAACATATGTAAATATAATATAATAAATCAATATATTAAGTCAATATAATATTATAAATCAATATTCTTACAAATTATATATACCAATAGAGACTAATTATTCCTTATTATAACTCAATTCATTTTATTATAACAATTTGCTATTATTGTAAATATATAAATTATTCTTTCAAATCTATCACTTCGATCTATAATTTTTAAATTTTGAAATTTCATTTCATTTTATTCAATTATTTTTTATATTTTTTTTTTTTAGCATTTATCCAACTTAAAAATTGGGTTTATTTTAAATGTAGAAACAAAAATATATGTTTACTGGAATTGTGATTTCGATAAGTGATGTTATGATTTTTGATTTTTCTCTAAAAGATTAATTAATTATATTAATTAATGTTATTAATGATTTATGTAATTATTAGATTATTACTATTATTATGTTATAAGTGTGACTTATGGAATTCGGAAGAAAACCAAGATTCGAGATCATTGATTGAGATTTAAGAAGAATTTTATTTTATTCTAAATTTTCTTTATAAATGCAAATATAATTTATAATTATTTTTTTTGAAAAAAAAAACGATTTTTTCTTTCGAAAAACTATCTTATCTTCTCCCAGTAACCCTTTCTAATCGTTTATTATATTATATAATAAGTAGAATTTTCGCAAATAAAAAATCTTTGAGAAAAAATTTTGCATATTGCTCTTATAGATTTCAATTCATTACTTATTAGAATTTCATTGTTTCTTTTATGATTTACATTATTTCGCATATTATTATTAATTATGCTATTAATTGCTATTATAGTTACAATATCCATTTATTTGATATAGATATAACACATTTATCGATCTTGAAACACAATATTATTATTAGATTATTTTTAATAGATTATTATTTTTATTATTTTAAAGATAATATTCATGATTATTATTTTGTATGATTTTAAAAATCATATTTTGTTGATATAAAAATTTCAACAAAGCTTTGGTAATTTAAATATTATTAACAAAATTATATTTTATTTTATTAAAAAATGAAATATTTCATTAAAAAGTTTCTTTCATATTTCAATAATAATTTATTTAATATAATATACGAAAATAATTATTCTATAGTGATTTTGTACAATAAAATCACAAAGATCAATGATCAAAGATCAAAAATCAATATAATCGAAGTTATGAATAATTTGTTATAAATAATATTCTTTTTTAATATTTTTAATCATCATAATGAATTATAAATATATAAATTCATATATATTTATATATTATATATTATTATATTTATATATTCATATGTTATTATTTATTTATTTTAAAAAAAGTTATGTTTTTTTGTGGAAATTTCTTTGATTTTTTAGCATAAAACTGATCAAATTAAATGATTTTAAATTAAAGAGTTTCAGTCTTATTAGTATCTGTTCATAGTTGAAAATGTTTTTAAATGCTTTAACATAAATTAATAGATTTTTTATGTAACATATATTAAAAAATATATTAAATATATAATAAAATATAATAAAATATTAAGTATTAAAAATAAAAATTTTGTTGATTTAAATAATATATAATATGTTATTGTATTAATATATAATAATGTAGTAATGAAAAATTTGTTAATTTATTCTCTGAATATTATAAAATATAAAATCACTATAAATACACTATAAAATCGAAGAATGCAATTAATGGGAATAATTTACAAATATTACATTACAAATATATGTTATCAAATTAAGATGATGTTTGTGTAATTATTCTTATTAAAATCAATAAATTGAGTCAGTAAAATATAAAAAACAATAATACATATTAAAGAAATGTGATAAATTTTTTTAAAATAATAATTTTTTTAAAATAAAACATACTAACACATAGACTATTAAAAAATCTAACAAAAAATAATTATTAAACTATTTAAAATATATAAAAAAGAGGAACAATTGAACACAATACTTAACTTTTTAAATGAATTATTATTTAAATAAATTGATATAAATTTGTTACGAATATTTTAGCAATATAAAAATAATATTAATATATTAATTATTTATTAATATATTATTACATTTATTAATATATTATTTATTTATTATATAATAATACATTAATTAAATTAAATAAAAATTAAATAAATAAAATTTTTATTAAGTAGAATATGCTTTATTATAAGAAAAAACAAAAAATTTATTAATTTAATTATGGCTAAATATAAAGAATAATGGATAAAATATTATAATGTTTGAATATTGAAATAAAATAAAAATAAAATAAAATAAAATAAAATAAAATAAAATATTAAAAATCACTGTATTCGATAAATATCTTATCGAGTTAAACGCAATTTTAAAACGTATTTATACATAAATTGTGATTCACAAATCGTTGTATTCAAAATGAGTATAAAAGAGATTTTTTTTTCAATTTTTAATCATAAAAAATAAACATAATTCTATTTCTAAAAAATAAAAATTTCTAAATTAATAAATTTATTTTTCATTACAGAAAAAATGTCATTATATATGAAATTGTCTATATTCATAATGAATATTATTAGTATATTTATACGACCTATATTGTGGTTTATGTATAGAAAAAGACTACCGAATATACCTCCAATTAAAAATCCTTTATTAAGATTAAGTGCAACTACAATAGCAAGAAAGATCAGAAACGGAGATGTAAGCAATTAATCACAAATTATTTTTTACAAATATGTAATAATATAATGGTAAAATAATAACATAAGTTCTATCATTTTATTTTAATCTATTTTTATTTTTCTTTTTTATTATTTATATTTTTACAATTATCTCATAATTTCCTATTATTATTACAATAAATTTTTTAATTTTTTCTTTTTTCTTTTTTTTGTCAAAGTAAAAAGCTTTTTATAAGATAACAAAATATATATTAATTCAAATTTATAATTTATAATTATATTTTAATTTATATAATATAATTTAATTTATATTTATAATTTATAATTTAAATTTATTATTGATAATACATTATTGATCACAGTTTTTTTTATGATAAAAAATAATTCTGTTCATTGAATATAGCTTAAAAGCGAGACAATAGTGAAAGCATATATTGATCGTATCCAAGAAGTAAATCCTTTTATAAACGCAGTAATAGAAAACAGGTTCGAGCTAGCTATAAATGAAGCAAAATTATACGATGAACAGTTGAAAAGTGGAAAATTTATTATACACATATTGGAAAAGGAAAAACCACTTTATGGTGTACCAATTACTATTAAAGAAAGTTGTTGTCTATCAGGTAATCTGATATATTTAATGAAACAATAATTATGAAATATTCATTTTTTAAATTAAAACATTTAAGTTTAGATATATAAATATATATATATAATAGATAGATATATATAATATAGATATATATAATAGATAGATATCTATTATATATATATATATTTTATAATATATAGTATATATATATATGAAGAATTAGATAAAATTAACTAAAACATAGAATATCCTCTTTTGTATCTTTTTTTTTTAAATAATTTAAAAAATAATTTAAAATATTTAAAAATTCTTTAATATTCTTTATTAAATATTATAATATAAAATTCTTTACTAAATATAATATATTAATATATTTATTAGATATCTTTAGAAGATTGAAACCAAAAATTAATATACAAAAAAATTAGTTCAAATTTATTTATTAAATTATGAGCAATTTAAATTCGTGTTAAATGAAGTAAAACGAGAATATGATTTTACTTTATTTTTTTTATCTCATTTCATCTAATGTAAACTTCAAACTTGATTATAATCTAATAAATAAGTTTTTACTGATATTTTCGTATATGTCAATTTTCGTGTTTGTTTAGGTCTCTTTGAATCAATTTTTCAAAGATGTTTTACAAATATACTAATAATTCTGTATAATACAATAAATTTAATCAAAGAATCCAAAATTGAATTCTTAGCAGAGTGTTTTAAATTCAAAAATTGACTTCTTGAAAAAATTAAAACATATTTAGAATGGAGAATGTGATTTATTTTATATTTCTTTTTCAATAAATTTAATATCATATCAAATTTTTTCATCGAAATCATATGATTAATTTTTGAAATAATAATTTTTTTTTAAATTAGGAATGAGTTATACTGGAGGTTCCTTATTAAGAAAGGGAACAAAGGCTTTAGCAGATGGATCTACAGTAAAAATAATAAAAGATGCTGGAGCCATTCCTTTGTTAGTTAGTAATACCTCTGAATTCTGTACAAGTCTACATAGTTATAATTTTCTTTATGGTCATACATTAAATCCATATGATAGAAGAAGAACACCAGGAGGATCATCAGGAGGTGAGGTAAATATTAATTATGTTAATTTGCATTTTTATATTAATTTCAATTTTTCTTTTATATAATAAAAAATCTTTTATATAATAAATTATGGTAAAATTATAAAATTTTAACAATTATGATAAAATTGTGAAATTATGTATATTTATATAATATATGTTATGTAGAACATTTCAAAAGTCGATTTTAAAATAAGCAAACAGAAAAATTGTAATATATAAAAATATTATTTGAGGTTTATTTATTCAATTATAATTTTGCATTAGATAAAACAAAATGAAAACGGAACTAACAGTACGACGGAGATAGTACGGATCATTTTCATTCTGATTTCATTAACACAAATTTCAATTGTTATAACTTAATAAGCTTCAATCGATATTTTTATATAGCAACTTTTATTAAAATTATTGTTATAAACTTTAGCTTAACTTTGTTAAAACTATTATTATATAATTAAATATTATTTAATTTTTTGCAATCAATTCTCCAAATCATACATATTTATATTAATATTGCTTATATATAAAGAGTATCTTATAAAGAATCTCAAAATTCACGCAAGATTTGAATTTTGTACCATTTGGTAAAATGTTGTTAATGAAAAAGAAAAGACAGTATGATCATTAAAAATTAAGCGCTAAGTTTAGAATTATTAAAAATGAAGCGCTACACGAAGGAACAACGGTTTTTTATTGTTGAACAATATTTTAAAAATAAGATTTGGCAATTACAATTTGTATTTTTCGAACAAAATTATCTTCACCGATGAAGTTCATTTTCATCTTGATAGATTAATCGACAAATTAATCGACAAAATTATCGCGTTTGGGATTCAGGAAATCTATGAATGATTCTTGAGAAATAAATTCATCTTGTTTGGTGCGGATTTTGGGCTGTAGGCATCATTGGACTATTCTTCTTCGAAAATGCGGCTAGTCAGGCAATAATAGTTAATGGTGCTTGCTATCACGATATGGTCTAGTTTTTTGTGTCTAAATTGCAAAATATGGATATAAACGATATGTGGTTTCAACAAGACGGTGCTACATGCCATATAGCCCGAAAAATAATTTAATTACTGAATCATTTTCTGGTTATCAGGTGTAATTTCCTATTTTAATAATCAGAATTGGCCGCACAGATCGTACAATTTAATATCGATTTTTTGGATTTTTTTTCTCTCTCTGGGGTTTTTTGAAGATTAAGGTTTATATCGACAAGCCCACAATCTTTCATGCCTTGAAGAATTAAGCACTGTATCAACGAAATTCAGCCATATTTAGGCAAAATGATCATAGAAAATTTCAACAAAAAAGTGCGTATGTGTCAGGAAAGCCATAGAGGCCATTTACGCTTTTCCATACATAACCCTGTATATTTTGAATCAATAAAAAATTTATAATTTTTAATTATAAATCTGTGTTTTCTATCAAAATTACTTCTTGTGTGAATATTGGACCACTTTTATAACAAATATATTATAACATAAGAAGAGAAATATTATATTATATTAAATATAATTATTGATAACGAATGTATTTGAATTAGCAATGGTTGTAATTAAAATAATTCGACGAATGGAAATGAAAAAATTTTCATTGTTTTAGAAATATGATCATTGACTTTTTTATTTCAAAAAATCGATCATCG